TGTTGTAGGCAGCCTCATCATACTGTCCCCTCCATTAACTTAACAAGCTCAGTCTCCAAACAAGTTAGGTTTTTTGCCCCCATTCTGCTTGGAAGGCTGTTTAACTCTGGGTTTTAGTCCTGTTGCCTGTCCCTCTAGAGCCTTTTTATTCTACATTTCTGCTTTTATTCTGACACTTGGCATATATGAAAATTGCCTTTTCAAGTGTTGGATCTACACCTCTGAGTAGCCTTTAATGTGTCTTTTTTTGAATTATTACATTCCAAGATTGCTTGACTTTTAATAAAAGGGTCGCTTAATGTTCTATATTCATAACACTGGCTTTTTAATGTTAAAGACTTAAACTCCCATCTCTTCTCCTCTTCTCCCCCCCTTTTTTTTTGGTTTTTATCCAGGAAAATATCAGAGGTGACATATTTTCCATAAGGTCCCAATGATCCTCCATACTTCATTTTTTCCCCTCCACATCCTCCATGTGGAATACATTGTATATATCCAGCACTAGAACACCAACCACCATCAAATAGAGCCATTCTTTTGCTCCTCTTTTATTATACTAGTCCCTATGGCTTCCATACACACTTCAAATTGCTATATACATTTTTTGTATCAGAATTTCCCATAACTAATAAGGCTGATGAGGGAATTGCGTGTTGCAGCTGCATGCTGCTACCTCTCAGCAGCCATTTCTTAAGTCTCTCCTTGTAGTCAGTGTCACTTTCATCAAACTTCTGTGGTCTGGTTGCTCTCTTCCTGGATCAGCTAGGAGTCTGTACCTTCCACTTCTAGCTTGCGGTATTATTTAAGTGATGACTGAGGCAGGTTTTAGGGTACTTTTTGTTGTTACTTAATAATTTAACTTAAAACAATACAATGTTGCTGCTGCTGTAATCAAGCCTGGCTGAATTCTGTCTTAGCCTCTGCAACTGTTTCCTAGTAACAGGACCATAAAGCAGCAGGATAAACGTAAGTGGGTTGTCAACGATATGGTTGAGGATATGATGCAAAGGCATGAGGAATACGTGGCGTATCAGAAGGCAAAGCAGGAGTGGAGCATGCTACAGGCATAGAGGTATGGAAAGATTTCTGGAGGAAGAATGGAGGCATAGGGAACCCGGCCATGCTCGCACTAACGTCCGTAGACTCCTCACATTACTATATCTTGCAGCCAGTGCAGGATTTAGAAAACTGGGGCTGGCTTGGCAATGGACTATTTCACGAACTGGAAGCACAGGTGTTCTCTGTGTAGTCATATGCAAAGCAAGCAACGTGGTTTTTGGAGTGGGGAGAGCGAACAGGAGGAGGAACTTGGCCAGAGAATAACATATCCTTTAATACTGGCTTTTGAACCTTTAGTATTCAGTGGTGGTTAATGTTTTGTATACAAATGCCATGCACTTGCATTGCACAATATGTGGAATATTTATTGCATGTCATAAAATAACATGTAATAGTTATTTTATATAAGGGTAGCTGGCTTTTTCCTTGAGTTGGTTTGTTTGTTTTAAGTTGGTTATTTTTGGAAAATGTGGCTTTGTGGGTGCTTTCAAAGAAAGGAAGATCCAGGAAGTTTTGTACTAAGCTTTTAATAAAGTTGCAAAATGTCACAATCACATAGGCACTTAACTTCACACCAAGCCTACATAACCTAAAATCACACTAAAGGTTAAATCACCTCTACACTATATCAAATAGACAGTTTACATCTCTATAAAAAAGCAGATAATGAAGTGATGAAAACAGGCAGCTTCCTTCCGCCACTGCAACCAATTCCAGGGTTCATTGGTGACTCTACCTTATGGTTGCCTGTACTAGGCCTGCAAACCAGAAGTGTCGAGAGCCCATGCAAAAACACATGCCTTTAACCTAGCAGATGTTGTGCTGGGTGCACCAGACCACAGACATATGGACAGCATTGGCTGCATTGGCATACAAATGGTTTTGTAGGCAGCACCCTCTTGCTATCAGCCTGTCAAATGCACACTCTACCCCATCCTGCAGCTGCTAAGCTTGTAATTGAATCTTTTTTTGCCAGGGCCCCTAATGTCAGGGTATGATTTCATGAACCATGGCTAGAGTGGGTATGCATGGTCCTCCAAAACAACAGTGGGTACAAAGATCCCATTGATTATAGTGTAATTAAGAGGTTTCAGAGTGGTAGCCATGTTAGTCTGTATCAGCAAAAACAACGAGGAGTCCTTGTGGCACTTTAGAGACTAACAAATTTATTTGTGCATAAGTTTTTGTGGTCTGTATGTTCCACTCCATGCATCTGATGAAGTGGGTTTTAGCCCACGAAAGCTTATGCCCAAATAAATGTATTAGCCTCTAAAGTGCTACAAGGACTCCTCGTTTTTAGTGTAATTAAGAGGGAATAAGGTCCCTGCTTCTCTCAGCAGTTCAATGCCAGATCTCTTTAGCACACTGTATTCGTGCAACTTTCCCATACTTCACACATTAGTGTTTCTGACCTTGCCTCTCCAGGCCCTACAGAATGATGGAATAGTACCCTTTGCAACTGACACATTTGCTTGTTCCTGCTGACTGTCAAACTGTTGGGTATGGATTTTGGAACTCCATTCTCTGAAAGCTAGCTATCTTAAGAACATTTCTCATGCTCTCCACCAGAGGATAAACCAGTGGTGATCCCCTCACAAACCTCCATTACCACAACACCAACAGTTTACTTGCCAACACCAAACTGGTTTGCAACACCTGTAATAGTCTGGTGTTGCCAGCTTCCAGAGGGCAATAGCAACCTGCTTTTATACCTGTATGGACTCCCTCAATTAAGTGTTCTGATAACGGAGGGTCAGGGCAAGCTCTTCACACAGCTCCATAGAGGTCTGTTTCCTTATGTGGAAATTCTGGATCTACTGCTGGTCATTCCATGTCTGCATGACAATGTGATCCTACCATACTATGCTTTGTGGTATGTATCCCGCTGGTATATAAATACCCACTCTTTTTGTGGGGTTTCTTTTACAGCTGGTAATATTGATTAAATGTAGGTTCTAATTGCTTGTATAGAAAGTTTTCTTTAGGTCTTAATGAGCTGTAACTAAGCTGAAATTTTCCATGTTGAGCATCTGCCTTAGGCTGGGCTCTTTTGGAGAACTGCAGCAAAAATGGTTAATTTGTTTTTGAGAACCAGGTTAGAGGAAAATACATTTATGTCCATGTTTTTTATATATAGCTGCTTCCCACAGCTCCCATTGGCCAGGAATGGCAAACCACGGCTACTGGGAGCTGCGGGTGGCCATGCCTGCAGACGGTCAATATTAACAAACTGTCTCGCAGCCCGCCAGTGGATTACTCTGACGGGCTGCATGTGGATCGCGGACCGCAGGTTGCCCACCACTGAATTGGAGGGTGGTTGTTGGAAGGACTCAATTAGGTCTGTGGAAAAAAAAAATAGTATGTGATCATGTAATTGAAGACTGCATCATAATGTGTGCGCACAAGAAGGCTAAATCAGGGTTGTACAGGCAACCTGAATTTTGCCATTTTCTAACTTTTGAGTGCTTGACTTTGTAACTAGAGCTGTGCAAATTTTTTTGGTTTAATAGTTTATTTCTGTTTGTTTGACACAAAACTGTTTGCAAATGTGATACCAATTCAGCCAAACATTTTTGTTTTTTTGTTTTTGGAGGGGGGGGGATGGGGGACTTGGGTGCCATTCCCAAAATGGCATCCACTACCTTATAAGTTTTAGCCCAGTGTTAAGGAACTCATCAGGGATGTGGAAGGCCTGGGTTCAGTTCCCTCCTCTGCCTGATGTGGAGCTGGGATTTGAGCTTATGTCTCCCACATTGCAGGAGAGTGTCCTAGCACCAGGCTATGGACTATTCTGGGGTCAGTCTTTCTCAGTCTCTCCCATTGAAGCTGCTGCAGTTTGTATAAAATACTTAAATAGTCATGGGGCAGAGAGAGAGAGAGAGAGAGTGTGTGTGTCTGTCTGTCTGTCTGTATTTAGGGTTACCATATTTGAACTTTCAAAACAGAGGACACTC